GGTACAACAGGGCAGCAAGCGCATTGTACTGTTTACCATGGCGAGGTCACATTTCACCATGCTGGGTTCTGGCTGGTAAGGCAAGCATGGTTGATCTCTGTACAGAAAGCTGTTCGATGTAGGGCTTTCTCAGCGAGATGACAGGGGCGTATTGTGGCCAGAGGGAAGGTGGATGCGGGAGGTAGGGCACCAGGGTTGGTTCTGGATATCTGTCAGGTCAACATTCAGGGCTCCATCAAATTCAGGGAAGCAGGTGATGGAGGACACAATTTGACCTATTAACCTATTCAGGTTAGTATAGGTTGGACGCTTTCAATATCAAGGTTTCTACGACAGTATGTCATAGATGGCCTCATTGTCTACCATGAAGGCACAATCAGGAGTGCTCCAGGGTGGTGTGGGTGGTTGAGGATGGATGTTGTAGGCTCAACTTACAGCGTTGGAAACCTGGGGCGCTGGGTGAAATGGAGGAAACTCAGCTTGGACTTGACTTCTTGCCATAATCAACTGAGAGACGTTCCATGAGCAGGGAGGTGAACCCAGAACCAGTTCCCCCACCAAAGCTGTGGAAAACCAAGAAGCCCTGAAGACCGGTGCACTGGTCAGCCTATTACAAAAGAGAGAAACAGAGGAAAGGTTAAGTTTTTGTTCTTTGTAGTACAATCATAGGAAATATATTTTCACTTTTCATACATCTCCCAGGATTTAGATCTTATTTTGACAAATGCTTTTTAAAAAATTCTCATTAACATTTACAAAATGATACCACATAGTTCATTTTAACTGATAAAACCCCACAAGAACGACTCATTCCACTCTTTATTAAAATAACAGTTCAATTCTGTGTTTGAAAAAAAAAAAAAGCAGTATTTCAAATGTGTTCTTTAGGCTCATTAATTTACTTTATTCTTGAAAAGAAACATACCAGCTTACGAATTCGGTCCAACACAAGGTCAATGATCTCCTTGCCAATGGTGTAGTGCCCTCGGGCATAGTTATTGGCAGCATCTTCCTTGCCTGTGATGAGCTGCTCAGGGTGGAAGAGCTGGCGGTAGGTGCCAGTGCGAACTTCATCTGGAGAAGGAGGGAGAGAAGGATGGAGGGAGTGGGTGAGTGACCAGCGGAGCCCCCCAGGACAGACCTCCTGTCCCAGCATCCTGGGATCTCACTTGGGTTACTGAGGTCAACTCACCAATGACCGTGGGTTCCAAGTCTACAAACACGGCCCGGGGCACATGCTTGCCAGCGCCAGTCTCACTGAAGAAGGTGTTGAAGGAATCATCTCCTCCCCCAATGGTCTTGTCACTTGGCATCTGACCATCGGGCTGGATGCCGTGTTCCAGGCAGTAGAGCTCCCAGCAGGCATTGCCAATCTGGACACCAGCCTGGCCAACATGGATGGAGATGCACTCACGCTGTGGGAAGGAAAAGTGAAAAAATTGTAAAATTAAGGCGTATTAGCATTTCAAACTTTTAGTAAACTTTAAAAAATATTTCTAATAATATACAGATATTTTTCAAAATTATTTGAGGTCATATCCCTAGCACGATACAAAGATTAAGGAAAATGACCTGCTGCAAATGCTGCATATGGGTGTGGTCTGAATAATGATGTCGCCTTGGCCCTGTTCAGCACATGGTACCAGCCCATTGTGCCTACTACCATGCTTGAATAGAAGACTTTTCATATTTAAAAAGTATTCAGTATTCAAAGCACAAATTTTGTAAAATGAAGTAAATTCAATTATGACATAATTGGGATTAATTTTACTGCTTTCTTCCCTTTTAAATAAAGATGAAAGTTTCTTCTGAATAGGACTGACTTGATATTATAACATGGACATCTGTACTGCAGCTGAGGCAAGAAGCCACACCCTTCTGCAGTCTGTCTGCAGAATCCATCAATACAAGGGGTTTAGACAAGGTCTGCTTCTGCCTTCTGCATTGCTGCATTGCTGTATTTGCTGTGCCTGGTGCTAGCCTGTACTGTCTGCTACATTATTTAACAGAGCAAGCTCTATTTCCAGCAACTGCCTACATGATCTCATTGTGCTGTTTTGCCAGTTTTCCTCCTCTGACCCCGCCCGGGACCATGTGCCTGAATTGAAATGAATTAATGAAGATGCACTAGAACAAAAGACAACGGGATGCGGAGTATAATTCTTCTTTGTCTGTAGCAATTTCATTCCTTTTTTTAAAAAAAAAGGTTTTTCCAGATCTTCTCCACTGTAAAAGCTGAAAAATTATCCGTATCTTAAAACACACACACACACACACACACACACACACACACAGACACAGGTTCCTAAGTTAGAAACAAGCATCACATGAAAAGGTACCAAACAAAGAATAAAAGCCCAGTGGAACGATAGTGAAATATTTATTTAAAACAACAAAATAGTATTTTAATCCTGAGATTCTCTACCCACCACATAATATTCATATTCTTTGCATCCAATAGAGGTTTTCTTCTCTGTGGTCTTTAGGGCTACCACTTTCATTGTCTATTCGCTGATGTGGTGGGGGCGGGGCGGAGGGGGGCGGCGGGGAAGGGCGTTTCCCTGGTCCTGACCATCAGGGTACCCTGGGGCTCACAAAGTGGGCTTTCTCCCTCGCTGAACGAGCAGCGCGCGCGCGCACACACACACACACACACACACACACACACACACACGACCATCAGGGTACCCTGGGGCTCACAAAGTAGGCTTTCTCCCTCGCTGAACGAGCAGCACGCGCGCGCACACACACACACACACACACACATTTCAGTCGGTCAGGGCAGGGCGTCCCCAGACCAGACATTAAAGAGTTTGTCAAGTGAATTGTGATTTTGCTCAAGAGAAAAAAAAAAAGGTCATCTTAATTATAATAGCGAAGAAAACCCTTTTGGAGCCTACAGTTCCGCAATGATGAAAAGTTTTTTTTAAGTCAGCTCCTGACAGAGGAGGTTCAGTGAGGGCGAACCCCGCCCAGTGGCTCCAACGCCATAGAAGCCAGAAACAAACAACCCCGCCCCTGCGCCGCCCTGACACCCGCTGCCGGGGGCTCCAGTAGAAACTCACCATGTTTCCCCGGGAATGTGTGGTTATCTTTCCAAAACGCCAACGACCGCGAGGGGTCTTCCCACGCTAACCCCAGGCTGCGCTTTGTTCCCGTTCCCCCTCCCACATCCCCCAGCTCGCTCAACGCCCCCGCTCTTTTTGGGTGCCTCCTCCTCTCCCGGTCCCCAGAGAACGAGGCGAGACAGAAAGGGGCCCCCTGGCGTCTGCGAAACCGTGCGCACAGACACTGGACCCAGCCGGGACGCCCGAGACCCCTCGGTCGCGGCAGACGGGCTGCCCGAGACCCCGAAAGGCTGTCGGACAACACAGGCGCCCAGGCGCCGCCTTTGTTCCTCCCCAGCGCTCTGCAGCGCCCTGGGCGCAGTCCTGGCCGGGTTCCTGCACCCGCACTGCGGCGGCGGCGGAGCTGGAGGATTTGGGGTAAAGCTAAACCTCACAAAACACACCGCCACCCTCGCCCAGAGAGCTTACGAAAGAAAAGAGCTTAAAGATTTTCCAAGTAGAGCCTGGGGGCGCTGACTCCACCCAACGGCCACAAAGAGCCAAAGCCGATTCTCACCATGGTTGCTGCTTCGCGACTGCCGAGCAGATGGCGGAGACGAGGAGGAGAAGGTTGTTGCTTCTTACAGCGCGACTCTTAGGCGGTCGATGTAAGAGAACCTGCGGCACATGGGCGGATGCGGCTCCATATATACAACTCGGTCACCATGGGGATGGGCCGGGGCCTGTTCCTGTTGGTCCAGACCCCCAATCTGCCCAGAGAAGCCAGGACAGGAGACTGGTGATTGGTGCAAACGACGTGGGATGAGGTAATCTCTCCCCCACCCCTTTTTCTCTAGCATCCGTAGACTGTTTGCATCCTTTAGACAAAGAGACCGTGCAGAAGCATTCTGCCGAGCATCCATTATGGGGTGGGGTCGGGGAGGGGCGGAAGAAGAAAGGGGACTGGGGTTGGAAGACTTTATGTTGCTTAAACCTCAAAATGCAGTTAAAATTATCTATGTGAGGTTTTTTCCCCCTACCCTTAATAACAGATTTATGTTCAGATTAAATATTTAAAGGAAAATTACTGCCAGCCCCTCCCTCGCAGTATATTAAACTCGACTACATTTTGTTAGGGTTCAATATCTCTAATTGCTTTAAAAATAAAGTGGGAGAGAAAATGGGCGTAATGCTCAAAACGGTCTGGGTAATTGTGATTTTTTTTAATTTAAAAAAAGATTTAGTCATACAGTCATTCAAAATGGTTTCTCAGGTTCAACTAACTTATTTTCAGAGCTTCTTTTGCAGGCACACGCACACCCGAATAGCTAAATAAAACTGGAAGATGGAAATAATAACCATACTAAATAAAGAAGCGAACAAATAGTTCTAACATGGCAATAATCAACAGCAAGTGCACGTAGAGTAGTTATAATAGTTTACTAGAGGTATTCCTTTATGAGAAGTCTATGTAACACATTTTGTGTGGTGCATTGTCCTTTGGAATGAATCATCTTTCCTGATATAAAATTGGGAAAATACAAGGAGAAATAATTGAGCTCAGAAGTTAGTACTACATGTGTGCAGTTACATATCTGCACTGGACTTTTGTCTGGAAAGTAACAAGCAAAATAATAGTAATAACCAAGACACCAAATTAAAAAGAAGAAGAGAATAATATAATGTAAAAAGAAGACTATTTTGCAATGTTGCCTCCATCTACAGACAACTGTGAAACATCAGCTCAATAACTGCATTTCCTTTTTATGCAGTTCTTATGTCAATTTGGTAAATATCCTCCTGCGAGTGGGCTTCTGACTGTGGGAATTTTAGCCAGCCTCACACCCTTGCTATTCAACTAGAGACTCTGGTGGTTGCTCAGTTGCCCCTTGGGACAAAAAGGCTTTGCTTTCACCCCTAAGAAATAAATTGGAGTAACATTGTCTTGCTATTTAGAAAGGCTCCATTCTCAGCAACGATGGGCTATGCAGAGTGAGTCACTGGATTTCGTACCACTGGATGTTGGTGATGAAATTTCAGAGGTAAGTAAGTTTGGCCACTAAAGTTGGAAATTTATTTTTTACAAATAATTTTTCCTTTTGGTTTTCAGCGGCAGATTTTCAGGGTGGGCAGCAACTACTCACACAGCACTCTGAGGAGCCCATTCATTCCTGCCAGGCTGGCAGGCTGAGCAGGGCGTGGGAGGGAGGGACTTGAGAATACAGCTGCTGCAGGTTGTGGTGTGACAATGGCGACCATGAATTTTTCTAGCCTGCCATCCACAGTTCTGCTTTACTTGTTCAATTTTGCTTCAGTAATATTTTCTGGAAAAAAAATAATATCCAAAATGCAAAAATCATTTTATCTACTTGTTACATATTTCCTAGGAAAAAATAATATTCAACATCATCTTATCTCCACCTCTTTAGCAAAAAAAAAAAAAAAAAAAAAACAAAGAAAGCATATTTCAGAAGAGACAGGAGGATTAGGTATTTGAATGCTTCTTTCAGAACCCAGAAATATATTTAACAAAAATAAGAATTAAATGGCATAAGGAAGCCTAAGGATTAATAAGTAGCTCATTCAAAATACTTTCACAATTTTAATCATAAAATATATCAGACACTATTGGACCATAGCAACATGTACAAGTCTTTTTGGAATGAGAAGCAGAGCTTTGAATATTATTTTCTTTACAATATAAAAAGATTAATTAAGAAATATGTTATTTATGCATTTCTTTATGCAATTTCCCAAGATTAAATAAAAGAGAGGAGTGTTCACGTGGTTGATTCTTTGTAATTCTATCTCAGAGCCATTCTGTTCCTTATGTAAATGAGGGTTATTCCTTCTGCTTGGGCATATATAACAAGACCTAGGTCAGAAATAGACTATTTGAGCACTGATAATCTCAAATATATAAACAAAAGATCAGGGGATATAACTAATCTATAATTTTTGTTCCTTATTATCTGATTTAATAGCACATAAACTGTGGAAAGCAAAACTATTTTTCTTTACTAGTTCACCTCTTATTTTTATTGCCATTTTAAAAAACTTGACATCAATATACATGTACAAATATTCTGCTAATGGATTCATTCTTGTACACAGTAAGATTAGCATAAAACATTCTTCTTTCATAGTATTTATAGAATTTTAATCATTTATTTACATGTCTACATTTCTCCTCCATTAAAATGTAAGTCCTAGTTCCTGCCAAAGTGCCTAACTACAGTAGATGTTATACACCACGTTTGTTCAGTTAAATGAATAGCTCTCTGTGCAGTTTCCTTCCTTCCTTCCTTCCTTCCTTCCTTCCTTCCTTCCTTCCTTCCTTCCTTCCTTCCTTCTTTCTTTCTCTCTCTCTCTCTTTCTTTCGCCCAGGCTGGAGTGCAGTGGCACGATCTCAGCTCACTGCAACCTCCGCTTCCCAAATTCAAGTGATTCTCCTGCCTCAACCTCCTGAGTAGCTGGGATTACAGGTGCTGGCCACCATGCCCGGCTAATTTTTGTGTTTTTTGTAGAGATGGGGTTTCGCCATGTTGGCCAGTCTGGTCTTGAATTCCTGACTTCAGGTTATCCACCTGCCTCAGCCTCCTAAAGTGCTGGGATTATAGGTGTGAGCCACGGTGCCCAACCTTTGCAGATTTTCATTACCTATTATCATGCTTAGTAATGTAAAGATGTTAGCCAGAGCGGTGGTTTACTCCTGTAATCCCAGCACTTTGGGAGGCCAAGGTGGGTGGACCACCTGAGGTTTAGGAGTTTGAGACCAGCCTGGAAAACATGGTGAAACCCTGTCTCTATCAAAAATATAAAAATTAGCTCGGGTGCAGTGGCTCACGCCTGTAATCCCAGCACTTTAGGAGGCTGAGGCAGGGGATTATTTGAGGTCAGGAGTTCGAGACCAGCCTGGCCAACATGGTGAAACCCCACCTCTACTAAAACAAAACAAAACAAAACACCAGCCAGGTGTGGTGGCTCGTGCCTGTAATCCCAGCTGTTGTGGAGGCTGAGGCATAAGAATCACTTGAACTTGGGAGGCGGAGGTTGCAGTGAACTGAGATCATACCACTGCACTCCAGCCTGAGTGACAGAATGAGACTCTGTCTTAAAAAAGAAGATATTTAATTAAGTATTTTACCATTTATAATCAGCAAGCATTTACTGAGGAAACCCAAGACCATCCTAGGTGGTGAAGAGTTCAGAGGTAATAGCATGGTCTCTTTTCTCTAGAATCTTTCAATTTATTGGAATAATTGAGACACGTACATTCCTATAGGTTTGAGAATGACATGAACGTGTGTGTGTTTGGAGAGGGACCATGCAATAGATCCCAGTAGAGAGGATCTATTTCATGACTCCATGTATCATAACTTATGAGGGAAACAAGAATTGTCGAACACTTTTTTTTTTTTTACATCTTCACCTCCTATTCATCCCTAAATCCATTTCAAACTGGATTCTGCTCCTATCACTCCTTTAAACTAAATTGCCTCCATGTTTGTTTTTTGTTTGTTTGTTTGTTTTTGAGATGGAGTCTCGTTCAAGTGCAGTGTCATGATATGGGCTCACTGCAGCCTCTGCCTCCTGGGTTCAAATGATTCTCCTGCCTCAGCCTCTCAAGTAGCGGGGATTACAGGTGCCCACCACCATGCCCAGCTAATTTTTGTATTTTTAGTAGAGACAGGGTTACCCCGTGTTGACCAGGCTGGTCTCGAACTCCTGGCCTCAAGTGACCAATTTGCCTCAGCCTCCCAAAGTGCTGAGATTACAGGCGTGAGCCACCATGCCTGGTCTATCTTAGTTGTTAAATCCACTGGACACATTGTAGTTCTTGTTGACCTGTGACAGGCTTTGTCACAGTTGACTATTATCTCCTTCAAGACACTTTCTTCCCTTAGCCTCAAAAACTCTACATTTTCTGGGTTTCTCTCCTACATTTTTGTTTCCAGTCAGTCTCTGCTGGATCGTCCTCCTTTCCCTAATCTTCAAATGTTGGAATTCCTCAAGCTTCAGTTCTAGACCTTTTCCTCATTTTATTCTATGTGGTCTCATACATTTTTAGTGGATGGCAAGTGCATTCATTCCCAAGGCTTCAAATCCTTCCTATATGCCGATGACTTCTTTTATTTATTTATTTACTTTTAATTTTTTTTTAGAGACAGGGTCTTGCTATATTGCCTAGGCTGGTCTCAAACTCCTGGCCTCACGTGATCCTCCTACCTCAGCCTCCCCACCCAGTAGCTGGGATTACAGGTAGGAGCCACTGTGCCTGGTGCTGATGACTTCCTTTTTTTTTTTTTTTTTTGAGATGGAGTTTCACTCTTGTCACCCAGGCTGGAGTGCAATAGCATGATCTCGGCTCACTGCAACTCTGCCTCCCAGGTTCAAGCGACTCTTCTGCCTCAGCCTCCTGAGTAGCTGGGATTACAGGCGCCACCACCACGCCCAGTTAATTTTTGTATTTTTAGTAGAGACTGGGTTTCACC